GGGTTTCTCCACTGGCTTTCTCCACTGTCACAACCCACTGCATACATCACAGCATTGTCACTGAAAATAATGTTGCCCACAGCTCTATTTAGGGGATGAACTGAGCAGTCTAATGAACTGCAGAACTGGAAAATCAGGAGTGCTCTCAATCATATCAAACCAATTACAGCCCGAGTGCCATGCCAGAAAGGAGTGGAACAGCTCATAAAAGAAGCGGGATGGATTGCTCTTACTTAAAACACATGTGGCCACTAGAAAATAGGGTGAACCAAACTGCACCAAAAGCAAACCAAAAAGTGAGCTATATGCCCATGTAATCATGCATTCATTCAGCGATCCAGCCAGAAGCTCAAAAATACAGTGAATGTATTTAAATCAGAACCTCAGAATGTTTCCAAAGGGTAAGTCAGCAAGATTTTGCAGGTAACCATTATGTTGTTTTCAAAGAAATCTAAAACAAAGCTGATATGATGGGATGTCTTGATGGTGAAACCAAATCTCATCAACTTGAAGCATGAGAGACAAGAGGCCATGACGTCTGAATAATTTACAAAAGCAACGATAGTGAAATCCTTGCTGTGAAGCTGACCAATCATGGGCACATAATGGCTGAATCCTACTGCCTAGAGTACTAAACTATATTAAAGTTTCCTCATTGTATCAGTGGAGATTTATTGTGTGAACTCCTCCATAGGTTGCATTGATTCAATAGACCTACTCTAGTTGTAACTTCCTATACTAAAGTGAGTTGCAACTAAAATATGCCTATTTGAACCAATAAAAATTGATGGAAGAGTTGCATTAAGAGTAGCAGTGAGTGCATGAAAAATATATTTTGCTGCTTCCATTGCATCTTCAAGTATCTAGCTGTGATCTTCAGAGTGTTCTAAGGCTTATCAAGACCTACTCTGATGAACAAAGGCCTGGAATTTTCAGAGGTCACTTGTGGCTATTTTGCTAATCACTTTGAGGCCAAAATCACTGATATCTTTTTATGGCTGACCCAACTGAGGTGTCAAATGCTGTGTCTTGCCTAGTTGTTTGGGTTCAATTTCAGCTGATGTGTGCAAAAGTCCTTATACCTGTGTATCCAAACACATGTTGTCTTGATTCTTGTTGTTGATTAAAGGTAGACAAATTGATTATATATCAAATTGATTTAAAAAACCTCCCTAAATCTCAGAGGTCTTGACAACTACCATCTGGCTGTATGAAGTAAATGCTCATTTTGGTAGTTCCGGTGGGCTTATTGACATAGCTGCAACAGTCAATTCCAGACACTTTTGGATCATATGAATTATCTAAATCTGTTTCAGTCAGGGTTCAGACCAGGATTTGGGACTGAATTGGTCTAAATTGACCCAACAGATTACCCTGTTTGAAAGTGGAAAGAGAACAAATCTATTGCTCTTTCTGGAGCTCTCAGCAGCTTTTGATACTTTAACTATGGAATGTTTCTGGGTTGGCTCAAAAATAGGAATTTGGGGGCATTGTATGTCTGTGGTTCTGATCCTGTGTACAGGGTGGCTTGTAGGCAGTGACACAGGGAGAATGGTCTCCCAGTCCTCTGGAAGCTGTGTGAATCCCTTATGTTGCTGTTCTGTCACCAATATTGTTTAATATTTACCTGAAGCCATTGGAAATAAGCATCAGCAGATTTGTAGCAGTGTTGCATCAGTATACCCATCCCACCCATCAATACATCTGAAGACACTCAACAATATTTAGTTTTCAATTCTGAATCAGTTGCCATCATGGCAGATTCTGGACCAGTGCCTACATATGGGTTAGGTGAGGGCCAAAACCTAATCCTATTAACATGGAAGCCCTCTGGGTGAGTTTTTCCTCAGTTTTGGGAAACAAGTAGACTAATTGTTCCAGATGGAGCTGCACTCTTTCTGAAGGATCAAGTGCAAAGTCTAGCAGTTTTGCTAGATACATCTTTGTTTATGAATAATAGTGTAAGGTACCCTAACATGATACAGTGGATGTACCACAGTTTGAAACATTTTTCAGTTGTTCCCAAAAGAAAGAAAGAAAGAAAGAAAGAAAGAAAGAAAGAAAGAAAGAAAGAAAGAAAGAAAGAAAGAAAGAAAGAAGAAAAAGAATTCAAACTGAATTTTGCCATTTGCAAAATCAGTGCCCTAGCTCAAAAGTCCTTTACTCTTACAAAAGCAATGATAAACTTTGTATGCACAAAAAATGCTCTACCCATGATGCAGAGTGACTGTGAGCAAAATCACTTGTGTAATAATATCTCTATCTATGGGGTAGTTTATAGAGTATAGCCATGATATTATCAAAACTAATCTAAATGACTATTTGTTAACTCATTTTATAGACAAGCTCACTAAGCAACTGGGGTAGTTTTATCCACAGTAGTATAAATATATAAAATCACCATTTTGTGGTGGCACAGAGACAATTGCCCTGCTTGCAATGATTTACTGATCACAGAATATTCAGCTCATGAATAAAGGTGCCAGGTGGAGCAGTTTAAAGGACTTAGCAAGCCGATTTTAGATTCAAATGGCCAAATGGAAAAATAATCTCAACAAATTATAGAAATGACCACCAAAATAAACACCAGCTAATAGATTTTCATTGAAAATCTACAGGAGCGGATCCAATGGGGTTGGTCTATTAATAGAAACAATTCTGATAGAGGAACCCAGGAGAAGGGGTGATTACTTCCCACATAATACCTAAAAACCTGCTTTAAAGTATTTCCAAGTTTTCTGGAGCAGTTTGAAAGTGAGGTTTTGAAGTTTGTGGGAAAGGAGAATTGCCTCTCTCCCAGCTTTGCTGATGGCACTGTTTCATTAGACCGGTACCACTGGATCCAGGCCACTACCTGAAACTAACAAAGTGCAACGACTGATGGAATTCCTTCTCTGGTGAGTTTCGTGCCTGGCTTCTCATTCTGGGCAGATTTTGCCCCTGTCATTCAAAACTGTAGTCTATATTCCTCTTGGGGAACACACAGGGCTTCTCTTAAATAACACAGTTGAAACAAAATAAGCTAATAAGCTGTTAAAAGATTCTAGTCAGTGTTAGGGGAAGCAAACAAATTATGAAGGCATTATTTACACTTGATAAACTAGAAATGACATCCGGGTGAGTTAATATTACAAACTGTTAATGAAAGACACGCTAAACGAAACAAATCACATAATAGATCACAGCAAAGTGATTCACTGTGATGAATACTGACATCAATGGAAGGCATCTGTGTGCTCTGGGGGTACTGTTTTAAATTCATTTCAGTACACACCCTAGCAATGCAAGCATGAAGAGAAGCTTTAGGAGAACTATTCTCTTGTTTGTTCAGTCCATCCAAAGATAGACTACATATTACAGAATCCTCATGAATTATGAGGCAGATTGCACTAAACCAACTCATCTACAAGGAGAAGGTGAGAACGTCTTTATTTTACCTTTTAACTTTTTTGCCTAGTACCATTTTAGCCAGGACTGTGCATGGGTGTCCTGTTTGATTTGGAGGATAATTTGGGGCTTTGGAATGTATGCCATTTGAGTCTGGAATGACTTCAGCGCCCCCCCCCCCAATTCAGTTTGTACTCCAGCTCCAAATTGATCTGTAATTTTGTAAAACCAATTCACTGGAAAACCAAAACAGCTATAACCTTTTTGTTCTCCACATAAATACATGGGATGTAGTTGCATGACAGAACTGAGGAAGAAATCTGTTTTTGTTTTAAAAACACACAACACCCACCCACCCGCATGGACACACACAACACACATGCAGGCTGGAGCAACTTATGTGTCACCTGGTTATATCTGTGCCTCAGATCTGATTGCCTTGTAAATTCTCTTTGCTGTGCCATAACTTAATCTGGCTAGTCTGTTGTCATCTGGACCTCATACAAAATTCATTAGAATTTGTGATATGGCCAAATGTAGTCCATGCTACCAATTTTAATCATGACTGTCTTCCCATTTACCATGTGATGAAAACAAAATTTCTCAAAATCAGTGTATAATATGGATTGTGTATTAAGTGTATTTTAATTAAAAAAATTCTGCTGTTTCACAATACCACCTTTCTGAATTTCTTTTTACAAGAGGTCAAACAGTGCCACTTAACAATTGACTTCACCACTATTTTGAAATATAAATATACTTTCAGAAATATAAGACACAATGAAATAAAGCTTCAGTATTTTACAGAGTTTGGCTGTCTGTAAAGTTTGGTGTGTATGTGTGTGTGTGTGTTTTCAGTTGACTCTCATATGGACTTAGTGTCCAATACGTTTTACAATATTGTTTGAACTATAAGTAACTAAAAAACTCCAAACCATCCCAAATTCTTATACAACAGGTTTTCAATTATATTATTTCAACAATGGGGATTTATCATTCTACCAAATTGCCCATGAAATAAATAAATAAATATGTAAGGGGTATGTTTTTCTTTTAGAGGAGGAGCCCTCAAACTGTAAAACTGCTTATGGGAAAAATTCCTTACAGCTTTTCTCAAAAATGGTTGGCTTAATTGTCTCTAAAGATCCCACTATCACAATACACTTCATTCAGTTTTGCTAAGAAATAAAAATGTTGCTGGAAGTTTGTTTCTGTTTTTAAAACATCAGAATGTGAAGGAATAAAGCAGAAAAACCTCTGTGTTTATCTGTCTGAAAATGGTGTGATTACTTCCTTTCTCCAAAAGGCTACTCTTCCTTCACAACTCAACCAGTTTGGAAAGAACTTGTATGAATTTGTTGATTTCTGTGGATAATCACCTAGGCAGGGCAGTCACCTCGAAATGTGTCTAAGCTGAATGAAACTTTTCTCCAGTTTTGTCCAATTTTTGCCATATTGGGATTTGAATTGAAGTTTGTGATTTGTGCAAACTCCTATTACAAGGTATTTCCCACAAAGTAGCATCATTGTGTATTCACAGGGACAATAGGAGGAAGATACCTTTTTTAAAAAAATAAGATTTGACTTACTCAAAAAAGAAAAGAAAAGAAAACTTCATCTGGCAACTCATAACAGAAATTGCCTTATATTTATTTTTTTATTTGTAAGTATTACCAATTCCAGTTACTGTAAAAGGACAGATGAGATTCACAAAGCCACATGGCAACATCTAATCTCCATATTATTTTATGTTTCAACAAAAGCATTCAGAATTTCTAGCAACGTTCTCATTGAGTTTTAAAATGTGATACATTGTTTTGATATTTCTTCATGATAATTACAGTGCTTTCACAATTAGGAAATACAAATAAACCAGCTCAGTTTGAAGCAGAGTGGGAAGCACCTTCGGATAGCATTTGCAGAAAACATAATTATATGTAAAGCTGCACCACAGTGCGCCCATCACTTTCATCTTCAGACAGCCACCTGATGAAGAAAACATAATTTTGTTGGAAGCAAAAGTACACAATTGGGGTGAGTGACTATGAAACTGTTACAATGAAAAAAAATGTTTTATCTGGTTAAACTTTTTAATATATGTTTAATGTTTACACCATAAAATTAATTTAAAATGATATTTAAATGAGGTTATTTTGTTTACAGTCAATGTTGGAAAAAAAAACAAGGAGGGAAAAAATAAGTAGGCAAAGCCCATTTAAAAAGGGTTTATTGCCTTTTTAACATGGTGGTGCTGTGGGCTAAACCACAGAAGCCTGTGCTGCAGGGTCAGAAGACCAAGCAGTCATAAGATCGAATCCATGCGACGGAGTGAGCACTCATCGCTTGTCCCAGCTCCCGCCAACCTAGCGGTTCGAAAGCATGCAAATGCAAGTAGATCAATAGGAACCACTTCGGTGGGAAGGTAACAGCGTTCCGTGTCTAAGTCGCACTGGCCATGTGACCACGGAAGATTGTCTTCGGACAAAACACTGGCTCTATGGCTTGGAAATGGGGATGAGCACCGCCCCCTAGAGTCGAACACGACTGGACAAAAATTGTCAAGGGGAACCTTTACCTTTTTATTGCCTTTAAATAATATGTTTGTGGTCACAGACAGGAAATAACAACAGATGAAGTCTAGGGAGCAGATGGGGGATCCCAGAAAGCCCCATGGCTCAAAAACTTCCTATCCTGACAGAAAAGCTTTTGTTTAGTGAAGTGATATTATCTCTCCCAAAGAAGTTAAAGACAGCTACTGTATGGCAAATGACTAAAAAGCAATTGCAAACAGCATGGGCCATAGATGCCATACTATAAAGCTCTTTTTCTTTTTCCTGGGTCTATACATTGGCAGTATAGAAAGGTACTTGAACCTTCCAAATCTTCTTAACCCTGCATTGAAGTGAGCCAGATTACAGATTGCTAACATGTTTTTCTCTTGCTATCAAACAGAGAAGACTATGAGTCTTTTTGAAAATTCTCAATTTGTTCATAGACTGAGGCACATTGATTTCTCCATTTTCCTTGAGTCTGCTCATCTTTGGAAAAAGGGTTATCCACAGATTTGGATATCCCCTGCTCTGAACACACACATTATTATTGGTGAAAGTTGTGACTATGTAAGCAGTATTCTTTAAAAATATGCTAATTTAGAAAATGAGAAACAAACCGGCTGCAATTAAAGGAGTGTAGTTCATTTGTAGACATGTTTGTGATTTCCACCTGTTCCAGAAACCAGCTGCTTCCTATGAAGAAAGGACAGTAGTAAGTATGTGCACTGCATGAGTTCAGAATATTTTTTTTTCATTTATTATATTATGCAAAAATCACACTGCCTAAAATCATGTGGCTTAGCACAGTAAATTTCACTAGAGTAGACACACTGAATCAATATGGATTTAATGAGTCACCTGCCCCATAAGTTCCATTGATACAGTTTACTATGATAAACAACAGGATTTTGGCCAGGGCATATTTCAATAAGATGGGCTATATGAACTACATGTGTTACTGTATGCCACAAGAGATGTCGAAAAGTCAGTGTACTGATACTTTCTAGTAAATATTAATATCTGGATGGGCAGAGGTGCCAGAAAATACTGACATTTACCACCAGTTTTCAGAACCAACCAATAGAAATAACTGCAAAAATATGACATTTACCATGTCAATGGGCAGCAAGTAGCATCTAGCAGGGCAAAGACATGAGGAGGCAAGGCAGGGGAATGGCAGGCTTGGTTGCTTTATTCACTAGAAGATTGCCTGCTGGAAGCCATGGCAGCACATTTCATGAGGTGCAAGACTGGAGTGCCTACCAGTGAACAACTGTGATTGTGGATTCACCTACCAGACTACAAGAAACACTGGCTAGGAGAGAACTGTGTTTCAATCTGTTCTCTGAAAGAGCAAGATTATTTGCAAACAAACTGTCCATAGGGTTTCAGAAGCATATATATCAATGAACAGGCTAAGAAGCATCCAGAAATAAGTACCAAATAAAAATATTGTTTTTTTACAATGACTACTAATTAGCACTGTCTTTTTTAAAACAACAAATATATTTCCTGCTATATCTGTAATAACTTTAAATAAATGATAATATGTGAAAAACCACATCTGAAAACAATTTATTTCTTCACAATTCTGGACATTTCTTGCACGTAGTAAATACCGGTAATGAAAGGATAAAAATGATGGTTGAAAAAGGGTTATTTGTCAAAAAGATATAGTGGTTCCTTGAACTTATTGGTACATGTGAAAAATGTACCAATCCTCGAGTCTCCTTTAAATCCTGGAGTCTCCTTTAAATAATCCTGGAGTCACCTTTAAATAATTCCTGACAGTTACGGAGAAATGTTGGATCCATTTTTGTCCAAACTAGTTAGAATAGTAGGGTAAAAGGTATCCGATAAGAATTTGTGGGAAACTGAGTGATATTTATTTTTCAGTCTTACCCAAAGGAAAGAGAAGGCATTTTCTGAAAGAACTATAATACTCTTATAGTAAGTGAAGGGGGAAAACCAAAGACAATAAATACACAATTGTGTGCATTTATTTATACAGCTTGAAATGTCTCAGTACCAATTAAGTGAAGCTTCTTTGTTCAGGATCACACTAACACTTTCTGCCATGAATTCATGTTATATACAAGTCAGGTCACACAGTCTGAAAAACAAGCCTAGCATTTAGACTTAAGGTCCAATCCTAAGCTTATTGTGATAGGAAATACATATTCTACACAGGCAGTTCCTACTGCTATAGCAGCTGAGCATCACAAACCATAATATTGCAGTAGCTTTCATTTTACTATTTTAGGTGCTAATGGAGGTGCAAATGTTTAGACTCAAAGGCCAGGTGGTTCAACATAAATATCAGAATACATATTTGATGGGAAACACTTTGCTGTCTAAAACATGGTTAGAAGTCTTCTCACAGGATTGTATAACTTCAAGATGTTGTTTTCCCATACAGGAGCATGACAGCTTTAAGAATGAATGAATGAATGAATGAATGAATGAATGAATGAATGAATGAATGAATGAATGATAACTAGGCCCACATGGCATCTAAGCAACAGCTCTTATATTATTAAGAGGGATATACTGGCTGAAATCCTGTTGCTTAGTGTAGTAAATCACACTAGATTAGGCCCATTGAATTTAGTGAGTCATCTCCTCGGTTTCATTGATTCAGTTGGACTTACTCAAGTTGTTACTTGGTAAGTCACAACTAGCATAGGCTCGTAGTTCCATTACAGAAGAGTTGACACACAAAATCCCCATTGATTCAATAGGTCTAATTTAGTGCAACTTAATACATAAAGAAACAGCTGCTATGTGATGGTGTCAGAATAAATTTCTCCAATATTTGTTTCCTACATTTTCATGTCAGTCTTTGTTCAAGTAGCTCAGGGTAGCATACACAGTTCTCCTTTCTTTTATTCCCTCAAACCACCCTATGCTTTAGCTACCTTTGTTTTCAATCCATGTTGTGAGCTGCTTTTTTTCTGCACAGGAACAAAGTTGGGAAATATAAAATACAACAAAATTAAATTTTAAAAAATAGGCTAGTCAGTAGAAAAGACACTGACCAAATTCATCCATTGAATGGGAATTTGAACCTGCATCCCATAGTCTAACATTACAACTACTATAGCACACTGAACCCCAAATGGATATGTCCTTCAAGCCAGATTTATGTTCATTCAAAACACAGGAAGAGCATGAAATACACATGTAGACATACTTACCAAATCCTTTCCCATCATGCCCAATTTCAATTTTCTGCAGCCTCCCAACATTTTTTGTCTTAATTTTGAATGTGTCAGTCTTTTAAATGAAAGGAAAAAGAGTTTTCAGACCATAGCAAGTCTAAAGCTAGGATCCTATTTAATGCCAGCAGAGTGAAAAGGATTGCTTATGAAAGCTGTTGTACAAGCAGTGATCATTGTGTAAATGCAACTTCTCCCTGCTCAACAGAGTTCTGAATGCCTCTGTGCACAAGTACTGAGAAGGTCACTCAGCTCCCACTGAGATATGCTGCACAACCAGTTTGATACCATAGAGTCCTGGCCAATGTCTGGAAAACTGTATGCTCCCTTCACTCTGTTTTGGGACAGGTTTAAATTTAGCTGCATAATTCTTGGGTGGGGGGAAGTAATGGCTGCAGGCATACCTTGAAGCATGCCTCTTATGTACCACATTCAGTAAAGTTCTATGTTGCCCACTTTCAGTATTTTATTTAGAACATGAGGTGTTTTCCCAGTGATATTTTGAAGAACTATTGTCATTTTATTGGTTTCAACACCAAAATGATTTTTTCTTTAATTAAGTATTATGAATTTGTCACCAGCTGAGGCAATAACACCTTTAGTTTTGATTTTTAATTTATTTTGTTTATGACCACAAACCTGTATCTGAAAACATAAAGGTGAGTGAATTGCCCCTATTTACTGTTAAATTTCTTGAGTGGTCTACAGTATGATTCAATATGTCATTTCATTTCCAGCTCTCATGGCCCATTGACCAAAATCCTATTGCTTAGCATAGTAAATCACACTAGAATAGGCCCACTGAATCAGTGGGTATTTGGTGAATGTACTGCTACATAAACTCCATCAATTCAAATGGCCCTACTCTAACCACAATTTACTTACACAGCAATGGGATTTTCGCCATTATGTACTTTGATGCATTTCTGAAAGGAATGACAGCTTCCTACTTGGCGTTTTCCCACACAACTGCTTCTTTCATTTACATGTGGAAGATGTTCTAAAACAGTTATTACCAACCTTAGATCCCCAGATGTTCTTGGACTAAAACTCCCAGAAGCCTTCACCACTAGCTGTGCTGGCCAGGATTTCTAGGAGTTGTAGTCCAAGAACATATGAGGAACCAAGATTGGGAATCACTATTCAAATAACAGCATTGAAGAAGGTTGAAGACTGATGTATAAACAGAATTAAGTAGATACTCCAATGTCCTTATATTTCTTAGCCCTATGGTTTGTTCTCACTTGCAGCCACATTAAGTTAAAACAAAAGTTCGAATTATACTCTGTCACACACTCATTTTTGTTGAAGTCCTTAATTTTAGAGGATTATAACTTAGAAAAGTCAGTTTTGACATTTTGCTATTCCTTTTCTTGCCTCAGGTTGAACATTCTATACCACATTGCTGCCCATCTTGACTGAAAATACATGTTTCTAAATGTCCCTGCAAGGGATAATATGGGAGGTGACCAGAAAATAGGAAAAACAGACAGTATGGGCCCTGGGATACTTACTTTTCCTCTTTCAAAGGGATTTTGATGATCCAGAGATTTATTGAGCTGAATTAATGGAGATGTATCTTTGTCTCCAAACAAAATTATGTGGACATTGGCATCAGTTCCAGCTCCTCTCTTATCACCCGTGTACACTTTAACCATATGTTCTACCAGATCATCTGGTCCATCTTCCTTGACAACTGAAGAGAGGAGGATTTCTCTTCTAATTTCAGGTTCATTGGCATCCAAAGCAAAAGTTCTTTTAAAAAAGCCACATAGTGATTATTAAGACCCAATATGGAATTCAATGAATTAAAATACATACTGTCTGTTTGCTCGAGCCACATAACAACCAAAACAAAATACCACTTGAGTTGTTTACAGTAAGGTAGAAATAATGTTCTACAAAGATCAAACCATAAATTGATGCCATAAAATCTAGGTGCAAAATGAAAATCACCAGCCAAGGATAAATCTAATAAAACACACTTAATGCTATGTAGATATTCTGATATGGGCTAAAACAAACTTTGTGAGTCATCATTTGATTTATGCTTATCTACGTATATCATACTCACTCATTCACATCAAATATGTAGACAGGCTCTTGTTTTTGAGCTTCTTTCACATGCAGTGCTTTAATCCCCAGTTTGCAGGCTACAGTAGAAACAACAAGCAATTGATCCTTTTATAATAATAATATAATTTATTGTCATTGTAAGTATATACACAGTATACCATACAACGAAATTCACTTTTCATTTTGTGCCAAAGATTAATCAAAATCAGGTGCAATTAAATTATATTTTGTTATCAATACAGTTCCAAGGCCATTCAATAATTGTCTCCATCATTTTAAATCTTGCAAGGAAAGGCAGTTTCATTATGTACATTCTTATATGTAAGACCATGGAGGCTTTGAAACTATTTTATCGCATTATGCAGAGGGGGTGTTCCATTAGTTTTCAGACTGCTTGTACTTAAAGGGGACTGAGGGTCACATGCTCAGCAGCAAATCTGGACATTCTATTGATGTGTAGCACAAGGCTTGGTTTCCTCCCATTCACAAATTACAATGGGTGGTGGTGGTGGTGGCATTCCTTACCAAGAATGCAGGATGGGGGGCAGATGGCTTATCTATTCCCCTCCACTCTAATCAGAATTACATAATTAGATTTTCTCTAATTCTTTTCCCTCTCCTGTAGAGCTGTTTTGTATCTGCTTGCAATGGGAAGAGAGCAGATAAGCCTCCATTTCCTCCATGCTGCCTTCTTAGTCCTGCCTCTTCTCCAACCTGTACCCTTGTGACTTGAGGAAAATATAGTTTGGCCTTGACAAAAGCAAGTGGGCCTGGCATCCATCTCATACTTGATGTGCAAGCCTAGTGACATATTATATGAAATGCAGCCATGGCCTCCTTTCAAGTGTCAAGTGTTTATCATCTATGCTGTGGTCAAGGTAGCGGCTTCAGTTCTTGTAGATCAGAAAAAATGATATATGCTGACATGAATTTTGGAGATCACCCTGGTTCTCTCTCTCTCTCTCTCTCTCTCTCTCTTTCTCTCTGATCTCCAAATTCCATGTCAGCAATCCAGAGATTGTAGGAACTCTGCTATAAGATTTTGGCCAAGGTGCTTTAATCTCATAGAAGCAGAGATCAGATGCACCGATTCATCTGAAGAAGTACCATATCAAGGAACAATTATTAAAATCCTTCTCAATGTCTGGAATTAAATTAGGTACCTTTGAAATTCAAGGCCTTTTAAATCTGCCCAGGAACATTGTACTGTGGAAAACTGCATTTTCTATGAGATTAAAGCACCTTGGCCAGATCCTATAGCAGAGTTCTTACAATCTCTGGATTGCTGACATGAAATTTGGAGATCACCCTGGTTGATTTCAACTGGGCTTAGACCTGTGCCAGTGGATGCTGAGTATTCTTTTCCCAGCGCTCTCACAATGGAATGCTGTGCAAACAGAAGAGGATTAATATAGATTTCTGGTACCTAATTCACACCTGCAAGATCAGATATGCAGTTTAAAATCAACCTCAAAAGGATGTAGCTCATAGGATAGAAAGGAGAAACTATGGGTTCAATGTATGCCTTGCATGCTTTGCAAATATCCTGAGTTCAGTCCATAATATCTTATATTAAAAGGTCATCAGATACAAGGTAGTAACACAGAAGTTTGTTTGAGAGCTTGGAAAACCACCAGCATTCAAGAATGGATAACACTGGACCAAATGAAGAAATGGTTGAACTATTATAAATCAAGTTTTTACGTCTCAGTGCCAAAACTAATATGTCATTCAAACAAGCCATGATTTGTAAAATTAAGACTGCATTCTGCTCTTACTAAGGAGAAGGCTCAGTGGTTCATGCTGGGTCTTCATGAGATAAATCAATAACTCACAACATTAATAACTGTTCACATTGGTTTTTGGAGTTTATAACATTCAAACCATGCAGACTATGCAAAAAGTTGGCTTTCATTTTGCTGATTTAGATCCTTAGCATGCTATGTATGAAGTACGTAACAAGGGCATCAACAGGGCTTACAAATAAAATAAAAGATTATAATAGCAAGGTAAAGAAAACTAAGCAAGTAATAAATATCACAGGAACTTTACTTGCGTAGGCTTGTGATATAAATGCCTGATGTAAACACAGACACTGAAAGATTGCTTTAGCTATGATAGAAGAAACTTACATGATTTGCTCCCAATCAGAAATGCAATTTTGTGCAGTTCTCCCAGATCCACAGCATCTATCTGACCTGTGAATGACTAAAAATACGCAGCAGTATTGGGATTAGAATACAATTTATGACAAAGCAAGCATTCTATTTATAGTTTTTTTAAAATGTAATGAACTAGGGACACAAGAGTAACTTGTGAAAACATTTCATTACCCATCTCCTCAAATCACTCTGATTTAACTAATAACCTGATTGTCTCCTTCTGGCTGAGATACAGAAGGTGATGACAACAACAGTGTTCGGTCTTCAGTGTCTCCATTGGTTCCATATAAATTCACAGATATATGAACTGAGTTTATGATGCCCAAACCATCAGTGGACAATACTCCCACATCATATCTGAGCACTGTAAAACAAAACAAAACAAAAAAAATACAGTCAACCCCAAAATAACAGGCATATAAACTATTCAAAAAATGTGTGAATGCATGTTACATCCTAAAATATGTATGTTTTATTTCCCCTTGAGACAGGTGTTCAGATGTGGAGATGCTCAAATTCTTTAACTTATGCTTTTAATAATTTTCAGTACAAGTCCTCCACTGCATTTGTTTCTTTGCTCATAATGGAAAAAAGAGTAAGAGACTTGGATGATCTCACTGGACTTAGCATTGAATTTCAAGCAAAACAAACCATATGGAAATACAAATCATGATTCAGAGTCCTGTGGAGCTAGTTCTATGAAGAGTATTAAATGTACTTTTAAAAAACACTGCCACACCCTCAAGGGACACATATTGCATGGTAAACTGCTTTGGAATCTAGAGGGATTTTTGGAAGCAGCTTCTGAGATAATATTGAGATCAGCTGTGGCAAGGAAAGGTCTTTGAAGTCTAACACAACATGGTCAAATTTGTTTTATTTTTTAAATGACATTGACAGAGGAAGACAGTTTTCCTACTTCTGCTTGCAGCCACCATTCCTCATATTCCTTGAAAATCTACATTAAAGATTTGGAGGATACACTGGTAAATTGGGCTCCATCCCTGCTTTTCTTTTGAACCAGAGTATACTAAAGCACAGTTAAATCTACAGGAGGAGCCTCATTCAAAGAAAGGCAACTCTGGATTAGGCCCATCTTTTAAAAAAGAAAATCTTACACAGTGGACAAAATCCTGTTGCTTAGCATAGCAAATCACACTGCTAGAGTAAGCCCATTGAAGCAATGGGGATTTAGTGAGTCAACTATTCCATAAGTTCAATTGATTCTAATGGGTGTGCTTTAGTTGTGATTTATTATGCTGAAGTGCATCGCAGTTAGCCTAGACCCATTTCAATCAATGAAACTTGCAGAGGGGCTGAATCACCAAATCCCCACTGATCCAATGGAACTACTCTAGTGTGATTTAGTATACTAAGCAACAGGGGTTTGGCCAGTCTATTGTGTTTTATCCAAATCACATGACTTCATGAAGTGCCTATTCAGATATCATTGCTACATCATAAGAAGCATGGCTGACCAGTGCTAATTTCTGTGAAAATGAACTTTGCTGAGTATTCATGACATGGCAACTTGCAGACAATCAGAAATAGTGCTTGAAAAGAAAATATAGGCAGTTGTTCAGCAAAGGCTGTAAGGAAAAGAACGGAAGAGTGTGTACACTTAGCACGGCTTTACTTTGTAAACTTGGTTAGTCCTACAAGTTGACTGCATAAAATACTTAAACAATAATTTCCTAGATTTTTCTCCTGTTCTGCACACTTCTAGTAATTACTATAATAGGCTAATACTATTGGATCAGGCAAAGGAATCAGATTTTGTTTAATATGGGTTTGCCCTTTAGCTTTGATTCACTACTATGAAGTAGCTTGTTTATATTTAAAATATACAGGGCTAAACCCAATTGTTTGTCTTAACTAGAGCAAGCCCACTGCATAAATGGAACCTGCTAATATTTATGACTGTCTCATTGATCCTATATCACACTGTAGCTGGGATTTATAATCAGATTTAGCTCACAGTGCTTAAGCATGTAAACTTTTAAAACAACTTGGAAGAGAATGAGAAGCTGTTCAAAGTATAAGTCTCTAAATTATAGCCTCAATGAATAAAATGCTGTCCTCTTCATGTTATTAATTCTTGCAGAAACTTTCTTTGGGAGGCATTAATTTAATACAGCTATTTTGATGATAGTTGGCTAGACAGCTCCGTGAGGTCGGTATCTGGCTGTAGAAGCAGAAATTGAGAGTTCACTTCTCCACTGTGTTTCGTGGACAGTGTGCATAGCCTTGGGCAAGTTGCAAAGTCCCAGGACGCCCCCCAGAAGAAGGGAATGGCAAACCACTTCTCAGAACTCTCTACCTAGAAAACCCTGGAAAGGGTTGCCAGAAGTCAGAATTGATTTGACACAACACAGTTATTATCATTATTTTGCAAATGGGCTATTAATATTGAGATTACTATCTCATATTAATGACTGAAGTGAGAAGTAGGTTAAATAGGTGTGAGCTGACTATAGGTTCATGGAGTTTTCAAACTCCTAAGATTCCCATACCTAGATTTATCACCATTAATCTTGGCTTCATTGCATTTCCACCAAAACACTTTTTGAAAGATCTGCAGATGCAATACAAGTACACACAGTTATTATCATTATTTTGCAAATGGGCTATTAATATTGAGATTACTATCTCATATTAATGACTGAAGTGAGAAGTAGGTTAAATAGGTGTGAGCTGACTATAGGTTCATGGAGTTTTCAAACTCCTAAGATTCCCATACCTAGATTTATCACCATTAATCTTGGCTTCATTGCATTTCCACCAAAACACTTTTTGAAAGATCTGCAGATGCAATCCAAGTATGGTTGTATGGGGGGGGGGGGCGGAATCTGGATTTGACCACATGAAATATTCACCAAATTATTTCACCACATGTCCAGAGTCAAAGGAATCCATTCTATCCCTCTCACAACTTCACTTTTATTATGCAAATTTACCAACATGTCAAGCTATCCACACTACTAGAGCCACTCAGCCAAATTGGCTGTTTGTTGTTAGTAAAAATAAACTAAATGATTTCTTAGAGTGCAGCTCTTTGTCAGCATCTGGACACAATTTTTATAATCCAAAAGAACTGATAGCAGATGGCTGATTGACTTATAGAGTTGGGAGCTCAGATATGTAGCAGGGATAAGAGACACATCTGTAAGAATAACAGGCAATCAAATTCCCAAACTGATTATTACAAATGTTTTAAGCTGATTTGTTCCTAGTGACTTCATTGAAACTAAATTAGCTTAAGTCAAGAACTCTGACTAAACTAGGCTGTGCTCCAGGCTATTAACATTCAGGATTTTACACCAATATTAATAAATATTTAGGGAGGGAAATCTACTTATACACTGACTCGATTTTCCTGGAAAATAGTTAGATGAATCCAATAGAATATTTGAGGTCATTTCTACTTGATCCACATGTAAAATAGTAACGAGGTGTTATCAGCATTTATTTTAATATTTTCCACATGCAAATTAACAATTTCAACATGAATGCCTATCTGTCCTTGCACATGAATCTCTCTTGCTTTTACTTTGAAATTACCCCACATACATTATCTGAGGATGGCTCATGTCTAGGGAAATGGGGCATCCTCCAAATTTTGGGGTGAAGTACCTCCCTTCTCCCATCTATGATCTGTCTCTAGTATCTCCTACACACTCTGAGGGAAAAAAATTATGCATTTTAAATGTTAAAACCCACCAAAGAACAGAGATGAAATATGTCTACACAGAACAGATTTTTACACATGTTGTGTGGTAAATTTCCAAAGTATGTTTCAAATCCATTTCTGTCCTCAGTCGGGTTTGGTGCCAACCTGTCCTACATAGATTTATAAACCTGCAAACCATTTAGCAGTGGACTTCAGTACACTTTTCAGCATGGATTGTTGTACAAAAAAGAAATGGTAAAGTGCATATGATGCATTGTTGTTACATACCATCAAGTCAGAACTGATGTGTAGAAACCCTGATAGGGCTTTCAGGGTAAGTGATATATTTAAGGAGTGGTTTTGCCAATTTCATCTCCCTAGTGAGTTTCTATGGCAGAGCCAGAATTCAAACTCAGATCAACAGAGTCCTAGTATATCATTCTATCCACTGCACCACACTGAGTATCTCATAAGATAGACAGGTCACACTTAATATGAACATCTATATGAAATGCCCTTTGCATAGCAAAAACATAAAATAGTAATAAATGAAATAAGCAGTGCTTTGTTTTATAAAACCTTCATTTCATGCAAGCAACAGGCCTTGAATTTTTATGAAAAATTTAATCAAATACGATTAGAACAAATTTCTTTGATAAAACTTTTACTACTAATATCAGAGGTATCTTATAGCCTAATGCTGATTTATACCTACCGGAAAGTGCTTCCCTTAATGGCCACTCTACAGGGAACTCAATCCATCGGTCTCCATTAAGAAGAGGAAGTGTTTTATTTATACAGAGACTAAAAGTATCAAGGGTTGTGTTTTGCACTTTACAGTGATGGAACAACTGGGAAATGCTTGCTCCCAAATGATGAATCCCAAGTTTCACTTTATAAATCATTCCCAGATCAAATGGGAAATATACCTAGAAGGAAATAAGATATCAAGCTGATTTCTATAGTAGTTCAAGAGGCTTTGAAGGACATTTTAGTGCATCATTTTCGTTACCCATGCTATATTCTGCCTGACCTCACATGGAAAACAACTGGCCAACATGGGCTGATTTGAAAACCTCACTGTCTCATTCCTGAGTTCCTTTTTCTCAAACAACACCTAAAACTGAGCATAATCCTGGCAGACCAAAATGCCTAAGGACCAGGTGATCAGTCATTAGGCCAGCTGATGCTGTGCTGAACCCAAATGCTTCCTAGCCATGATGTTGGAAATTACTGAGGATGGTCCTCAACTCTGGTCTAACTTGTGCCAACATTATGGCTGGGTATCTAGGCTGAAGATGGTTTGGATCTGCCTCTTTCCCACCCTTTCTGGATCTTCCTGCCAGGAGATCTTAGTCAGCAAAGGAGTTTTGCTGGCAGGTTGTTCTGTCAGCAGATCTTTGGAACAAGCAGAAGAGAGTTCTACCAGCAGAAGGACATTTCAGCAGAATGGACTTGTGTGTAATCATACGGAGAATGTGTACCTTTCACTTAAAAATTGCATTGCTTATAATGTAACTCTTCAGTGTTAATATTTAAGCACTGAATGTTTTGACACACTATCTCCTAAACTTGCACCTTTTAAAAAGTAAGCCAGCATATATTAAATAATGATCCATAACATAATCAGTGAATTCATTATGGACTAAAATACTGCTTGCTAAATTGAATTGTTTCTAAGTTAAGTGTATCATCTCCATAAAAGCACTAACATGGTTTATGACAAAGAGAATAAAAAGAACTTAGTATTTTACATCATATGTTGCTTTGTCTTCAGCTTCATTTCCTTTTTTGTTCTCCAAGGAAACTGGTTCAGATTTGCCATTGTTTCCATAAAATATCATAACCAGTTTAGAAATGTTGTCCCAAGACGATTTAAGTTCTTCTGATGGATCTTCATGACATTCAGTGAAACAAATCTTCCATGATCCTTCTTAAGGAACAGAATGGAAAAGCTGATTAATTTTTGTTTTGTATAAATTAACCTGAGACATAAAGTAATATTATGTGAAAAATTAGTGAATGATTCAAACCAAATCAATTTATGTTATGTTAAACATCTTTGACAATATTCCCAGAAGTAGCAAATAAATGAATGAATTTCATTAAAGATTAAACATACCTCTATTATTTTACAAGAATATTTTTGTCCACACTGTCTGGCACAGCTGTGACTGATGACATACAATAAAATTACCTGATTTCATTTGTTTCCTTTGTAACAGTGAAGCAGTTGTGTTTCTTTCTTGTATTTCTAATCAAAACAAGACAGAAAATCAAATTATTCTTTTGAAAGAGAATGTGCATGAATGTGTATGCAAATATCTAAGTGATAAGCCTCCTACTTTCAAGTGTTTCCATTTAACCCTTCCTCTTACAGGCTTGGGAAAGGATTCCTGAGAGATGTTAATGGTACCTATTGTAGGTTTAAAAGGCTTTAGTCTGTCCTCTTTTCTCCCTGCTGGATCCCATTTCCTTTCATCAACTAATATTTTTACCAGGCCTATAGGGAGACTATTGTACTGCTGAAGCTGACAACCCATGAAAAGCCTACTGATGCTAACTGACCCATTCAGCACACCAAAACTTGGCCTACATCTTGTAAAATGAATGTGATCCAGAACTGAATCTAATTTAAATCAACCAATAGATTTTTCTACAAAACCACCATGGGATGGTTGATTTCTATTCAGTTTGTCCTGAAGTCCATCTATGATCCCAGATGTTTCTTGACACCTCTTTCATTGCTTAAATTGTGTTTGTATGAGTGTTCGTGTGTGTGTGTGTGTGTGTGTGTGTGTGTGTTTGCCATAAAAGAGAGAGAGAAACAACATCAGAGATTAGGGCTGTGAAACTATGGATGTTCTAGCCAATGGGGTTTGTACCAATGGGACCTACAAGGCCTTTACCATTACCAGCCATCTATAATGCCACTCAGGGTTGGTCCAATAAATTTTGTTGCATAAACTGAGGAACAGTATGATGCCCAGTTCAGTCTACCAGTTTGCTATCACAAGACTGACAGCTGAACACTATTGATAAATTCTTTTTACTTTGGTAGAAGCTGCAAATAACCTAAGCAGCACAAGGCAGATGGCTAGTAATAGTCATGCACTGTCACTGTGGTCCCGTTTCACAACACAAGAGTGTCTCTCTCTGCCTAATTGGCCATGCTGCCATTGTTACTCACCATAAAGAATGGCAAAAAAGTCTAGAAAAACCCTTCTTCCAGGTGTACCAAGTAAAGATTTCACAGAGAACAATCAGCAATTAAACCGAGCCATCTCTAGAGTTTTCAAGGAAGTGAGAAAAATTTAGATGCACTCTGGGAGCAAAGGCTCCCATCAGTTAAAACCCCTACTTTATCACCATTCCCCCAGTAGTCAGAATGTTTGTGAAATCTCCATGCCAAATGGTCTGAGCTAGCACAGCATGCAGATAAGCAACTGTTACCAGAAAACTCCTAAAATTTGCATTCATTTGGTTGCAAGTTGCATCAGTTTATTAACATTCTTTATGCTAACTGCTAAGCTAATCAGTGGCATTGCTGCACTACACAGAGATGTTATAGATTGTGCTTTCTGTTGTAAAAACCTTATAAGAAGTTGAAGAAGTGGCACATTCTGCAGTTCTGAAAGATATTCTCATTAAATAAGTAATATCTCAAATAATACTGACCTGTAACATTCAGAGTTACTGAGGCACATCTTTTCCTGTCAGGTCTGTCTCTTAGCCATGTTTGAGCTGCAAACAGTATCTCTTGTCCTATAAAGTTTGTCTCTTTCACGACAATCTTCTCAAGATGCCAGTCGGAACCTTTCCCCTTTTCCACCAAAAGCTCATATGGAGTCCCAATATCGACTGCCTCTATTTGAAAAACATCCACCTGAAAGGGTCACAAGCAGGCAGGGAGCTTAATAAACAGGATGCTTAACCTGGAACATCATAATATGGAATGGTTAAGGATCTAAAGGCACAAGGAGAGTAAACTCCACATACAGCCAAATCTCTCTCTCTGTGTATGTACATTTGTGTGTGCATGGATATATACACATATTCACAGACATGTGTATTAAAAAATGTGAAGCAGTGACACACACACACAGGTGCATGTTGGCCACAAGACCTAAATCCAATGAAGTATCGGTATAAAAACAGGGGGACAAGTGGAACTACTTTCAAGAGAATTTCAGGGCATGCTTATTTGTCCTTATGTGTGCCCAGATACTTTTGTTAGAAAGGGACAAACTATAGTAAACATTACATTAAGTGCTGCCCCTGTTGGGTGTTTGGTTCTTGAGCACCTGGGCAAGTTAAAGAATGACTCCTGACCACATGAACACTGCCCACCCTCATCTAGAACTAGAATTCTTCCATTGTACGTGCTATTGCAGAGTTACATGGTTAAATACTGGCCACAAACATTGTGATAGGCCCTGGTCTGTTATTCATAGAAGTGAATTAGATGACTGAAGCCTCTTTCTTCATGAACTGGATACTCTGGATACTCCCATGGGCTGAAAAGGAGAGGAGCTTATACTCTACAGTGCCTCTTTCCTCTTGAAGGGCTCCCTGACTGTCTGGAACAGATTTATCTTTCCTTTCAGCCACAAGAGTATGAAGTTCATGGAGTTCGCCTCTGTGCAACTCAAGTTCTAACTCATTATGTTTAGCTATGTACACAAATCAAATCTGATGGGCAAAAACTGAAATGTGGAGTTATTTTCATGCCTGCCATATCACAGAAATACATGATATGGTTGCACAGACTGATCCTAGAAAAGGAACTTATAAATCATTTTTCTGCATCAATCCCAGAATAGTCAACTATACTAATCTGAGATAAAAGGATTATGTCTGCAATCAAAAATCACTTTAATTTATGTTTGCAGTCCAAAATTCCTTTGATTTATTGTTTTAGGAGGCATACCCTATTTAACAGAGTACACTCCTCTGTTGCTGGTTTCCTCTGTTGGAAAAGAACTACGGTAGTCCGGGCCCAGTTTAAAGATTTAAAGAAAAGGAACATTATTTCAGCCTCTTTCCTACTAAGGTGCAGTTATTATATTTCTATTGAAATTATTGCAACCATTTCTCAACTTGAGTCTGAAAATTAATACATGGAATGGTTATGCAGATCTGCTCTGCATCTTTTCTGGCCCTCTGTTCTGATATTGAATTTCCTCTTGTTTTGTGATGCATAAGTGGTCACCATAACTGTTTGGTTGAAACAATGACAAAATGCATAAAATTTCATAACATTCCTATAGACTACTTTAACAATAATTATAAAGGAATTGTGATAAGCTGGATGAAAACTAAGGGTGTAAATCAGCACTTTCATGTTGTCCCAGGCAAGGACAAGGAATCACACAATTCTTTTACTCGCCTATGAAGACTGCTCTAGGTTTTACTGAAATTTCTTATCATTTCTTGTATTTGTGAGGACAATTCTTTTTCTGGCAACAGTTAAGCAATAAGCAACACAATAAAGAACAACAAAATTAACCAAAGCTTCTTTGTTTCATTTGCTTCCAATATTAAGCATTTGATGTATTGTTTGTGTCTTTCTTAATAATCAGCCAGTCCTCTGTTTGCTGTGTGTGCTTACAAATACCTTTAATGAAGCTTTTCTTCCTAAGGCAAGGAAGGAGGAGGCAGTAGGAGGCAAGGACTCTCACACCGCACCTTATGCCATTAACACAACCAGAATCAATGAGGATATGGAATTCTTGGTTCTTCAGGCAGGCCTTCGCCCTTTCCATTTCTTAATTCCCTATGTCTTACCAATCTTGGACTTTGCTTATCTCTGTGAAATTGTGTGTTTTAAGTTTTGTTTTATATTTGAAATGTAAGCCACACAGAGTAGATTCATTGAATCTAGATGGGTGGGGGGTAAAAGCCGGATAGATAGATAGATAGATAGATAGATAGATAGATAGATAGATAGATAGATAGATAGATAGATAGATAGAGAGAGAGAGAGAGAGAGAGAGAGAGAGAGAGAGAGAGAGAGAGAGAGACCAATAAACTGAAGTTTGGCCTAGTCACAATGGGCATATTACTGGTAAGTTTCTAGTGTCTAGTGAATTACAGAATTGATATTTAGCTTGTTCTTGGTGCACTTGTGTTCTTTATTTTAGGTTTTCAGGATCAGTTAGATCCACAATTGGTTTTAGATTCAATGTAGTATTTGTGGCTCAAAGTGCTACTCACCAACATTTTGCACACCAATTAAAACTCTTTTTGAGAAATGCTGATCTTTCCAGATTTATCCACATTCTAGGTATGTGATACAAGTGTGTTTATGTGCTGTGCGTTGTCAAGTTCCTTCCAACTTATAACATCCCAACTAGCATTTTCAAGGTAAGGAGTTGTTTTACCATGATGACCCTCAGTAAGTTTCTATAGTTTAGCGGGTATTTGAATCCAGATTTCCTGAGTCCTAGTGTAACACTCTACTTGCTACACTACATTGGCTATCATCTGACAATTACTTCACAATTTTTTGTTTGTTTTTGGCAGTTTTCTAAATCTAACCATCAAGATAGGCCTCAGCAAGATTTCCTTGCTCATTTTCTTCCTCATCCTTATTTTTCACCCATTGTTTGTGTAGAAAACTGCCAAATTCTGCACAACCTAATGCCCTTTCTGGTGACTCCTCTGCTGGAAATATATTATTCTGTGCAGAAACTGAAACAATCCCGCACATCTTATTGTTTCTTCTGTTCTTTCTAGTTGAATCCAGCACATGAAATATGTTTGGTGTTTCTTTTGTCATTTTCTGATTTAGCCTGCATATGACAAAGCAATTATAACAAGCATTTGCTACTTCTGTTTCTTCTGCCTTTTCCAGGTGAATTATGGGTAGGAAGGATACCATTCTGCAAAGGAACTGTAATAATCTTGCACAGGCTGGAACATCTGCTAGAAAAAATGGCCACAAAACGTCAAATTCCTCTGTGGTTTCTTGGGGCAGTGAGAATTCCACAGAAAATGCTCAAGTCACTGCCGGGCCATGCTCCAGTGGCACGGATCCCTGGAGGATCGCAAGACTCTAAGTCTCGCGAGAACATCCCGGGAGGAGAGGGGGGAACGATGGGCTATTTAAGGGCCATTTGCCCCCTCTCCTCCCACTTCGTTGGCTGGCAACAGACACGGACGAGTCTATTTGGCTTGGCTAATTTCTTCTGCATAGTGCTCGGTGAGGCCGGAACACCCTGGAGTTCAATGAAGGGGGGGTAGCATCAGCTCCCCCCGTGGTTTGCTTAATTGTTAAGCCCAAATTGTCTCAATTGCCAATCATTTGATTTATTGATTGTTGTTTATTTCTGATTATTTTCTGCTGGGTCTGTTTAGTAAAGGGTGAGGGTGCGTGCAACCACACGGGTTGTGTGGGACATGATCCCGCACAATCAGATCACACCTTTTTATTTATAGTGGGGTTTGATTTAACCATTCATTGTTTGTTTGTTTGTTTGTTTGTTTGTTTGTTTGTTTGTTTGTTTGTTTGTTTGTTTGTTTGTTTGTTTGTTTGTTTGTTTGTTTGTTTGTTTGTTTGTTTGTTTGTTTGTTTGTTTGTTTGTTTGTTTGTTTGTTTGTTTGTTTGTTTGTTTGTTTGTTTGTTTGTTTGTTTGTTTGTTTGTTTGTTTGTTTGTTTGTTTGTTTGTTTGTTTGTTTGTTTGTTTGTTTGTTTGTTTGTTTGTTTGTTTGTTTGTTTGTTTGTTTGTTTGTTTGTTTGTTTGTTTGTTTGTTTGTTTGTTTGTTTGTTTGTTTGTTTGTTTGTTTGTTTGTTTGTTTGTTTGTTTGTTTGTTTGTTTGTTTGTTTGTTTGTTTGTTTGTTTGTTTGTTTGTTTGTTTGTTTGTTTGTTTGTTTGTTTGTTTGTTTGTTTGTTTGTTTGTTTGTTTGTTTGTTTGTTTGTTTGTTTGTTTGTTTGTTTGTTTGTTTGTTTGTTTGTTTGTTTGTTTGTTTGTTTGTTTGTTTGTTTGTTTGTTTGTTTGTTTGTTTGTTTGTTTGTTTGTTTGTTTGTTTGTTTGTTTGTTTGTTTGTTTGTTTGTTTGTTTGTTTGTTTGTTTGTTTGTTTGTTTGTTTGTTTGTTTGTTTGTTTGTTTGTTTGTTTGTTTGTTTGTTTGTTTGTTTGTTTGTTTGTTTGTTTGTTTGTTTGTTTGTTTGTTT